TGGGGGCCAGATCTGCTCGCAGAACTACCGAATTACCCTCAGGCCTCAGGTGCCTCTCCACATCCTTAAGAATATCCTGTTACTTAAAGAAAAGAAGGCACATGTTTCTGTTGTCTGCTTTTGGCCTTCTATGTGAAACCATTGCAAAATCTGTCGTGTTAAGGGCTGGTTTTTACGGCAGAATATTCAGCCTTTCCCTATGTTAGATTTGACCCCACGTGTAGAGGACTTTGGCCTGTTGATATACAGATTGTGTTTGTGTCCCCAAGTCCACATTAGCATCTTTCTGTGAGCTCAAGAGCAAAAAACGTCTTAGGCACCCGTTTTCTTCCTGTCCCCTGACCCTACAAATCTCACGCCTTGCCTGCTCTTTGGCTTTGCACCGATGTCAATGAAGACGAGACAAAACGCCTGTTTGACAAGCACCGCCAGTCACGTGACAGGCCCCACGGATGTCTGATGACTGGAGCTTAATATTGTGATAAGCCTAAGGAGTGACAGGATTCAAGAAGGGATGCTTGGCTCATGTTTTTGCAACGGTACCATCGCAAGAACAAATGCAATGTTGTGCCATGTGTCTGGGCTTCCACTGATACTTTGCTCCACAAGGCAGATTTAAGGTAGAAGAGCTTCTGGGGTGCCTGGGTGGTTCAGTCGGTTAAGCATCCCCCTTCGGCTCAGGTCACCATCTCACGGTTCATGGGTTCGAGCCCCTCATTGGGCCCTGGGCTGAGAGCTCAGAGCCTAGAGCCTGCTTCGGATTCTGGGTCTCCCTCCCTCTCTGCCCCTCCCCTGCTTGCACTCTTTCTCTTTATCTCCCTCAAAAATAAATAATAAACATTAAAAAAAAAGAAGAAGAAGAAGAAGAAGAAGAGCTTCTGACCCAAAGGCTCTTGACGTCTTATCAAGCCACACTGGACTTGGACCATTGCTTCTGGGTCTATGTCACTGAAGCTCAGTGTTACTTGTAATTAATTTACTACAAAGTATATTGGTAGATAAAATGATTACTTCTTCCTACTTACAATGACTAATTATTATTAAAATAAAATGCAGTCGGGGCACCTGGGTGGCTCTGGCAGTTGAGCATCTGACTCTTGATTTTGGCTCAGGTCATGATCTCATAGTTTGTGAGCTTGAGCCTCAAGTCAGGCTCTGTGCTGACAGGATAGAGCCTGCCTGGAATTCTCTCTCCACCCCCCACCCCTCCCCTGCTTTGTTTCTCTCTCTCTCCCTCTCTCTCTCTCTGTCAAAATTAAATAAACATTTAAAAAATAAAATAAAATGTAGTAAATGAAATCTGTCAACAGAAAGATGTCATTAGTTTTCTATTGGGATTATCAGCTTCTAAATGACTGGAATAGAATTGTGCTGAATGTAATTTGGCTTTTTTAATTATGTAAAAGGTACTTTAGAATTGTCATTATAAACACTCATTGAACTGAGGTTGGGTCAAAGCACTATTTGGAAAGTGTTCTTAAATTCAGTTTGTTCTAATATTATAAATTACTGCAAATGAAGAATAAAAGTTAAATATCTAGGAATAAAATAGATCAACTTGGCACCTAAGTGACAGCCCCAACATTTTTTCCTCAAATACCTCTAAGAGGTCTGATAAATATTAAAAAAAAAAAAAAAAAAAAAAAAAAATCTAACATTACCACCCAAAACTATGACTCTCAATTGTACTATTACAAATGTTTCAGAGGTATTTTTATCAACAAAGTTGATAAAATGCGATTTACAAAACAATCAGTCTCTCATATTTACTTTTGCTGAAAAGATAGCAAACTTGTCAATCTGAAAGAAGGGAGGAAGATGCTTTTGGTTTTTCTGACTACTAACTCCAGTTTGAAATGGCAAAATCTGGATTAATGAGAAAATTAGGTATGAAAATCCAGGGGTAGAAGGTTGGGGTGTTAGGACATGGTGAGTCAAGTCATGGGGGCAGGTTATCAGAATAGTGGCTGATTACAGACACAGTCCGCACAATTCTCCATAATGCTTTTTAGAAACACAGTCGAAATTTATCAGAATTCCCAAGATTTGGGGGCGCCTGAGTGGCTCAGTCGGTTTAGCGTCTGACTTCGGCTCAGGTCATGATCTCGCAGTTTGTGAGTTCGAGCCCCTGATCGGGCTCTGTGCTGATAGCTCAGAGCCTGGAACCTGCTTTGGATTCTGTGTCTCCCCCTCTCTCTGCCCCTCTTCCACTCACACTCTGTCTCGCTCTCTCTTTCAAAAATAAACATTAAAAAATTAAAAAAAAAAAAAAAAGAATCCCCAGATTTTTAGATTGTAAGCACTGAACAGCAGGGATTCTGTTTCTTATTCACTGTGACATCCTCAGCATCTAGTAGAGTATCAGGCACACAGAACGTGCTCAATGTTAAATGAAAGAAAGAACAAAAAGGAAGGAGGAGAGAATGAGAGAGAGAAAGGGGAGAGGCAGAGAGGAGGGAGGAGTGGGGGAAGGAGGAGGGAAGGGGTATCGACTTGCTTGCATCCAAAGTCGGATTCCAATACCTCTTGGGAGAAAATCTTCTATTATATCTACATAATGGCTTACCTAACATGTGTGGGGCTAGCTACACACCCGCACAACACATTATAAATTTATATTTGGAAAATATGCCCCTGTGCTATGCCATATTATCCTGCTGGTATTCTTGGATCTACTCAAAATATAATCAGTAGGCCAGGACACTCCAACCTGATTCTTCCCGCTTATCTCCTCTTTTCGGGGACATTCCTATCAGGAATAAACTAAAACCTCCCTGGCTCCTCCCTACCTCACTCTACCTGCAACCTCATTTTAAGGGGAGAAATTCAAGAACGCAAGAGATATCAAGTCGAGCATTGAGCCATTCACCCCAGAGAGACCAAACAGAGGCATGAGCGGCTAATGAGAAGGCCTCTGTAAGAAAAAGGAAGTCAATGAATCTGTACTCTAATAAGGCCAGGACTGCTATTTTATAAGAACTCGGGTCAGGGGCTCCTGGGTGGTTCAGCTGGTTAAGCGATCGAATTTTGATTGGGGCACAGGTCACGTGCTCACGTTTCCTGAGATCAAGCCCTGCATCCAGCTTCACACCAACAGTGCAGAGCCTGCTTGGGATTCTCTCTCTCTTTCTC